AGCAATTATGTCCTTTAAGCCGTTTTCTCGAGATATTACGCCAACAGGAAACATCAGGCTAACTTAGGACCGGATCCGGCAGATTTTGAAAATTGATTTCACGACAAGTATGATCTACTTCAGAACGCTCTAGACCTTTTTCAGGTCACAAGCTCTTTCAAAAGACCCTGCATTGAAATATAAGAATTGGAATAATAATTCAGAAGACTTTTGACCTGCAAGAAAGAAAGCGATCAAACCCGAAGTATAATCTGAAAGCGGCCTTGTCCATACCCACTTCTCGGGTGCACATAATTCATTCATATTGGTCAAAAGAAGCAAGCAAAGCATTACTGGATATTAAAAAGTAACTCATCACTGTCAAGCTTTAAGGAATGGATTCCCTCAATCGCTAGCCCTGATGAGGAAAAGACATTAGAGCTGCTTTATTGGAGTACGTTCCAACACATTGTGGAGGTGAGGGGGGAGATCTCGCAGAATATAGTTCCCTCCCAATTGAAGACGAAACGTTCGAGTAGATAAATCATAATCGCCGGTGAATTTCCGTTCTTCTGAGGATTGAGGATTGACTCCCCATTGCTCTGGGTTATAAACGTGAGGCCTCGTTTAAGCGTCGCAACAGTATTATTTGTCTGCTTCTTGCGCGCAACAAGTTCGCCCGGTATTTTCGACGGATAAAGATGATTATGCTATGCGGGATCAGCTTTTTTGCCGTTGATCTCGTGAATTCAGAAGGTATTTCGGGTATCATCGAGGTCCTGTTGAACCAACCGTCCCAACGTCTTAAAATCCGAATTAGGTCAAATCCGGCCAAGGTCAATGCAAGAAGCAGCACGACACCTAGAAAAATATAAACATACAACGTCGCGTGAACTGAGCCGCCCATGACATTGCTTTTAAACAAGCACACTATAGCCTGTTTGAAACGGCGGGAATTGGTTCCGCGCTCTGTACTCACAATCTTCGGCATGGAGTTACAGTAGCATGGAATAAATGCCTTTCTAGAAGTGAGGTCGCGAGAGAGCAAATGAGAGAGAATTGGATTGTGTCAGTGAGTTCTGAACATGATTGTGATTACAATTTTTTGGGATTGCAGTGGGTGCCTCGTCTTTGTGCGATTCAATAATCAAAGTCTCATATAGTCAAGTTATCGCGTCTTCTTCTGCCATTTCTTTTCCTACAGCACGCTCCCAGTGAACATTATCAATGTGACCCAGAGAGTTACAGATTTAAGGGCACATTCCACGCCTCATTGTGTTCGGCTCCTGCGTTGCATCTCTGGAAATCGCAGCATTTTTGAAGCTTAGTTCAGGGAAGTTGAAGTCTTAGAGCAACGATTAGTCTTTTTCATAATACTCAAGGTAGTGTTCCATGATTCAGGCTTCGAGTCGGCTTCACTCCGTTTGGAATTAATTTTCGAGCGTCAATCTCTTCCGGCAGAATTGAATCAAACTTTTTGAAAAATTGTCCCACGCCGAGATGTTTATTGACATCTTTTACAACAGTGTCAGAGTAGCATGCCCCTAGTTGAATGACTTAACGACCATGATGACAAATTCCTACCCTCTCCATTCTTTTGGAGTAGCGCGAGTTGGGAGGTGTTTATAGAATGTACATTTCTACGATAAGAAAACAGATTTTTTTCCGAGACATATACATATCTCGTCATCCGAGTCTCATACTTGGGGCACGAACCTTGAAAATATAAATACAATGAATTCCGAGTCAGACATTCACTCTCCAAGGCAAGTGACAACAGCCCCGCGCCTTCATAGCTCATTAATTGAGCACATGTTCCAATGGAGAATTCTCACCTGTCGAAAGCTCTAATTCATTCATCGAGTCGGCAAACCTACCGAAGACAGTCCGCACCATTGATTTTTTGGTCCTATCATCTTTCCCAAAAGATTTTCTCTGGAATAGAGTAATAAGCTACCGAAATTAATTATTCGGCGGTGTTGAAAAGTAGCAGAGCCAAGAAGATGAGAGGGTTGGGTAATTTTCTATTTCTTCTCAGGGAACACCCGTTGTTTTGTATTTGCTGGACATGGCTTGCTTTCAGGTTCTAATTGGAGACTTGATTCACCCGAAACTTGTTTCACGAAATATACATGTAATTTAGTCAGGAAAACGTCTTTTTTCATTCCATTTGTTGTTTCTCGTAAAAGAACGGTTTCTTTTGTACGTGAATGCAGTCATATTGAACAGTGCCTGGGAAGGCATTTTAAACTACCTAGAAATTGAACAATATCCCCATCTCCGTTCGTTTGTTAGTATGTGTTTTGATCATTGCTTCATTGACGCTGAGCCCCTGAGTGTGCCACATCAATAGCTCGGCGTTGTTACCTTCTGCCGGACTGCAATTCTTGACTAAAACCTTTCAAGGGATAAACACCTCGGAGCAGCTGTTAATTTCAAACTTGCTTGGATACATACCCTGTTTCTGTATTTACACGGCCAAGAATTTGCGTATTCGGAATTAGAAATGAGGCCTACATCCTCTACTTCTGCTTCTTACGGCCATTCGAAACCAGCACATTACCACATTCAAGACATATCTATTCAATTCTGTACTTATATTTTCAATCACGACAAATGAGTGACCTAGACGAAATCGTCCGGGTTATAAGTCAGCAACAAGGGGAATATGCATACTATCGCACTTGATACAGCCTCTTCAAGCAGCTGCAGAATGACGTGGCTGAATTCATAGAGCAACTCAATCACTTCCAAAAAGCCCAATCAAGCGGTCTACTTGAAGTCTCTAGTGGCATATATCGGGTAACGGAGGAATTCCGGTCATTGACCCAAGCCATATCCGCTCGAGAACAGAACGCCCGCGCTGCCTTATCTGAATTAGTCGGATTACGTTCCCCCGAGAATTATCGTGTCAACTCCGATAGGACGCGCAATGCAAGATAGGGGATATTTTTACCAGTTCGGCAGTAAGACAATTGTGGCCTGAAATTCGTGGATTATACTTGTCATAGCTGCAGAGTCTGCCATTTCAGGCAGTACAGCAAACGGCATAGCCTAACTTTATTAAATTAGACAGCCAGTTGTGTCATGCTTGTTAGCAAATTCAAGTCAGTGTCCAATCACCTGCTGAGCCTGACTCTGGCAGAGTTGGTTCCTGGGTTAGAGGTTAGAGGGCCTTTTCCCATCTATTTTCATTTTGCACTCTTCCAAAATTGTTCAAGGCGATTGGACTTTACTCCTCCTGGGAGCTCAGGCCGTTCTAGAATTCTGCTAAGCATTCCTGGGACCGGATGAGGTGAAGAGCGTATGAGTAGGTCCTGGGAGCGTTGTTACTCCTTGTCAGCGATCGACATGAGGTGGACCCACATAATTTATCTGGGTTCCCTGCACGCGAGGAAGCTATCTTTCATTTGCTCCCTCGTGCTACGTCTTGTATCTATAGACGTCTATACCTTTATTACTATTAATCATTCATTTGGAAGACTCAGGGACCGGGGGTGAGCAGGAAAAAATGTATTTGATTTACCTGGCGATCTAATGGCTGGCAAGCAGAGCTCATTCGGATCACCGGCTGCAGATGTGTATCCATTCGTGTAGTCTTTCCCGCTTGGGTATCGGAGATTGAAAATATTGACAGGGAGCTTTAGTCCGAATATGATATTATTGGAGCTTTGCGGTTTGAGATTGAAACTTGCTCCGTCACTATCCGCCCTCAAGTATATAAAGGGTGCTCTTTCCCGAATTGGCTCCAGGCTCTAGTATTATCTTTTGCTCCTATTCTAGACCTTTTTTAACTACCCTTGCCTAAAAGTTGGTGGCTCATGATGGCAAGTCTTTCCGATACGATCATTATAACCGACGACGAGGAACTACCAAGAACAGAGCCAGGTGGCTCACGAGCCCCTCGGAGGGCTCCACGCTGTGATTACACTTACTCGGACTATGAAAATTTGTTCAATGAATCAATTGATGCGACCAGTACGAATCCGCCACGCAAGCGTAGAAGAACCACAATTGATGGAACTTCTTCTATCGTGGTATCAGCTTTCCGTGAGACCTTTGTTTTTCTTTTCTAACGGCAAAGCAGGACAACGCTTTCAAGAAACTTAAACGTACAGTTGGCCATGAGATTGAGTTGTTACAAATGGAAGTCGGAATGCTTGGAAATGAGCTTCGGGTGGAAAAAGAGAAGCGACAGAAGTTACAAGAGGAACTTTCTCAGCAGAGAAAACGAGCGCTAGAGTGCATGATCTGTTACACGCAACCAGATCGATGGGTGACTCTTCTTTGTGGACATTTGGTTTGCGAGTCATGTGTAAAAGTTGTTGAGCCAACAAACAAATGCCCTCTGTGCAGAGCATCCTGTACGGGATATGTCAAGTGCTACCCATTTGCCGGGTAAAGCCTTTTTGTCCGCGATTTAACCTGACCGCACTTCCTTTTTTATAAGCTATAGACAACTCTTTAAAAAGAAAGGAAATAATTATTACAATATATACATATCTATCAGGCTCCTCAAGAGCTGGCATACGACTCGACTTCTCAAGCACGGCCCATTTGACCCGTGGTATTGATTCGAACCAAGGGGCCATGATCGAATCATTATTCATGTCGTACCGACCTGATAGAAGCAGTGCTGGCACTTCGATATCTTCCGCCGTCTTGATGGCATCATAGTCATGCATGAAGCCTGACTGTCGGATGAGGGAGATACCTTTCTTGCCATTCGTCTTCCTCATTCTCGTGCTGTTTCCCCATGATGATTCAGTAAGTACCGCAGGCCACGGTTCGAGTATATAGAAATGCTTTTTCGAGAAGCGGTCACACACTTCTTGATATACTGGGTTGTCGTAATCCCCGTCCGTATCCATCTGTACAACAGCATCGTTGACGGGCAGCAGTCGGAACAAGCGTTCTCTCTCTTTGGCCGAAAGATCTGCGCTCGGATATGAATTGGCGATGACCGGCTTGTGAAGGCCACGCGGTTTTCTTCTAGAATATATGCTGGCTAGCATGCCACCTCAGCTGTGGCCGTAGATAGAGAATCCAACTTTTTGCAGCTCGAAGTGGTCCACGAGATTGTCGAGCTCAGCACAGAACACATCAAAGCCCCAGAAACTCTTGTCTTCAGCTCTCTCGCGGATGAGAGATGAGTGTGAGCAGCTAACCTGGTTGTAGAAGATGTAAGGAATGCTTGTAGCTTCGAGTGGCTTTGTAAGATGGAGATGGTAGTCGGAGCCAGCGCCCGGACCTCCGTGTACTAAGATCAGCGGTGGTGTCTTGTTGATGTTGCCAATCGCTCTGTACCACGTGAAACATTTCTCTCGCACATTGGAAATGTCAAAGGGGATACTTCCTTCTCTAATGGACATATTCGTGATGTTCGCATTGTGACTCTTCCTCTGCGATGATGAATGGCTGCTTTTCAATGTTTCCGCATTCCCAGGCAGCAGAGCTATTCGATGCGTCTTAGCGGTTTGCCGTGCTTATTAGACAGACTTTCATGGTGTTACTAAGCTTGATACGGGCCGCCGCTAATATCCATACACGGCCGACGTTCATGCGGTCTGTCAGCGTAAGTGGGCGGTACTAGCTGTGCATAAACGCCCAATAACGGATGGAAGCGACAGTAGGAAGCAAGAGCCACGAAAATTAGAAACGAGAACCATATTAGGCTACGGGGAATCACGCCTCTATAGTAGTAGAGGTAGATGAAAATGAGGGCTATAAAAGAAAGGGAGTAGGCGCAAATCAAGCCAGATCGCCGGATATTCCCCACCCCTTCAAGCCTGTCCTAAAACATTTCAGGCGAGAATACAGTAATTTACAATGACTCATTAGACACTAAAGTCCAAAACGTTCTATACCACGATACTGCTAGACAGTGGTTGTTTTTAAGGTAACCTCTTATGGATTAGTGTGGTTTCGGGTACGGGCCGAGAAACAAACTGTGAGTGTCCGAGGGGTACTGTAATCTGTTTTCGAATTCTACTGTATCTCAGAAGCTGCTCTTGTTTCTGAGTGTGTCGACCGTGATCGTACCATAATGGTCTACCATAAGGGTCAGGAAGACCAGCATCCAAGTGAGATGCCCATTCATATCGAAAATACTCTTCAATTAGCCACCTCAGATGTTAAACTCCCGGTAAGAGAGATTCAAATGGATTTCTGGGCCCAGAAGCTAACATTTGTCTCATTCTAGCCAAAGGAAAATGCCTCGAACTCTTTAGCGCTTGAACAATTTGCGCCTGCACTAGACGCTCTTGAACGGCTGGAAGGGAAGATCGAAAATTAGCTTTCCAGCTTGCCCGCTTCGTGGGCTTTACAGGAGCCTGTGGGGATCTTGTGAGCCTAAATACCTTGGCGTCATGGATCTCGAGAGGAAAAGCCCAAGCTTGAGAGACACAATGATTATTTGACAAGCGATCGAAACAGCCTGGAGATTTCTAAAAGTGAGCGATTATCGCGGCTGCAATCGTTTGCAGAGGCTCAAGAGCTCTCTCGACAGCAAGTAATTGAAGTGTTGGCCACCTAGATGGAAACAATGCTCAAAAAGTGAGCTGGGCATGACGATGACAATGCTTTCTGAGCGAAGCGAATAATGAGGTCAACGGATTAGGGCGACTATTCGGCCTGCGAATTCTGTGACTGTGATTCACCTGACAGCCACGGGAACGTATCAATGTCGTACAATGATGCGTCTAATTTAGAGTATGTTGAGTGAAAGTGGTTGAATCGTGTTTTGCGTAATAAAAATGAGACCCGAAAAGTCTTCGCCAAAGTCCTCTCCAATGTTTGAATGCTTAAGACTATACTTATGAGACAAATAGAAGAAACTCATTTTCCCCCTACGAATTCAGAAGCATAAAACAATACAGCATGGGCGATAGGCCACAGACCTGCATCGAAAACGTGTGGAAATATAGTACTTTATTTTTTGCGGTGTCCTTTCTTCGGCCCCAGGAACCAGAGCCCCACCCTTAGGAGCAATACAGTGCCTAGGGTCTAATGGGAAAAATTTGCGAAAAAGTGGAGAGTGTTCGTAGGAGCAATGCCAAAGATGAGGTAGATTTCCACGATGATAGGCGGACGTGGACCCACATAGCTTGTCCCGGCCCCCCTGATCGCAACGATGACCTCTTTCTTTGGCTTCCTCGCGCTAATCTGGTATCTCGAATGAAACATAGCTTTCTCAATAATTAATATCTACCTGAAAGACACGCTCATCATCCAATGAAGCAAGAGAATCTCGCAGGGAGATTGATCGCTCCTGGAAGCTAGCCTCTCTTCGCAAATACCAGCAGGCAGCTCTTTCAATTTGAAAAAGCCTATCGGGCAATGATTGTCTAAGGCCAGCTGATGTGCTAATCAAATCATCCAATCTGCTTTTCCTGGCGCTCCTAGGGCGCGCTGGCAAGTTCCCGGGATCGCTTGGTCGGTGCCAAGGAGGTGGGCTACATCATAAGCAAGGCGCTGCAGTGCGTCAGGTCAAATTCCCCTCCTCGGTCGCCAATGACCTTAGAGGTCTGGATAGGTTGGCCCGCAAAGCTATCCATAGCGGTATATCTACCTTGATCGGGTGCCCTTACCTCGTTAAAGAGCTAATTGCGACAATGGTCAAATTGAACATTTGTTACAAAGGCCATTCCTTCTCGAAATTATAGCTCTTTCCTTGCAGATCTATATCTTCCAGTGATGTCGCCTCTTCGGAAAATTCCACCACCATCTAGCGGTTCCAGAGCTATTCAATCTTGCCAGCACTGTCGAATTGCGAAAAAGCGATGTAGCCGTGATATTCCTTCATGTCAATCTTGTATCACGAGTGGCAGACATCACCTCTGTTCCTATCAAAAACGTTCAGTACCATACAGGGCCTGCGATCCGTGCCGTGTTGCCAAAAAACGATGCGGCCGTGAATTGCCTAAATGTCGATGCTGTCTTGTAAGCAGATCACCGAAGACTTGCATTTATAAGACAATCAGTCCAGATGTTGGGGACTCACAGCCTCTACCGCCGGAAGTGGCATCTTCAAATCCTCAAGAGCAGACTGTTACCTCAAAACACTCCGGCAATTCAAATTCTATGGGTGCTCGGATTTCGGGAATGATTGAAACCCGCATGGATGGGAATGCGAAACAACCTGAGAATGCCAATATGGATACTCAATCTCATGAGGATTCGGGGACTCTGAGTTGCCATGCTACACCGGCATATTCCAAGATGGAACTCTCGGTGGGTGAAACCCATGCTCATACCTAGAGCCTAAGGTATTTTTCTAATTGACAAACCCAGGCATCGCTACCACCCCCGTTGCAAAGACCGAATCTTGGTCCCTGGATCACCGGGCGCGAAGACCCATTTCCGACATTTCACCAGCTTCTGTTAGTTTTGAATTATCTCTTCATCACTGCAATGCTTCCCAAAGACGACGCGACCATACAGTGTATTATCTATCGGCACTCTGCCGACTGGGAAAGCGCGTTCGTCTTGCAATACAACGGACTCTTATCGTGGCTAGCCAGTACACGTGATGCTTTGACCGATGCTCATTGTCTACACACAATATCCCTAGACGACCTGGAGTCACAGATCCGATGGATCCTTTTCATGCTTGGAAGATATTCATTGCCTGGCTCGAGCGTTCTTCAAGCTTCCTTCCAAAGCGAGGAGTACCCATATCGCCCGTTTGGAGTAAGAGCAGGCATGGCATTAGTCTGCCTCGCCTTCGCGGGAATACAGCCGAAAGACATTCAGGGCTACGAGTGGAAACAGATTTGGCCTTGTGGTGAGCAATTCTATGCGATTATGGCATCCAGACTGAAGGGGTCACCTTTATTCGAAAACGACATCTGCGTTTTTCAGTTGGAGGCCATGGTGCGCCGGCTTCACCAAGCCTTTCATTTGGAGGAAGTGCATGTGGCCCTAACAAGGCCCCACAGAATCTGCATCGACAATGATGTCAGCACAGAGGAGTATTACCGGCAGGCGTTTCTTTCATTGCATCCAGCATTGCTGCCGAGGGTTTGTGAAATGCTTCAAGAACCCATATCGACTACGGAAGTGAGTGCGCACCATTTGGCTGATATATGTGCCAAGACTTTCCAAAAAGCGCCATCAGTGGATGTACTTGAAAGTGCATTCACAAGTATGCCGGAGATTTTGAATTCCAAAGCCGATAGAACTGTGGTTATTGAAATGTTCCACGTCAGATTGTCGCAGCAACTGAACCAGTTGAACTCGGGTAAGTCATAATTTTTCAGATGAATATTGCTACAAGTTGATGTTTATTTGCCTACAGACGCTCGATCTCAGATCATGGTATTTCACGTTTCTCCCTCCCGAAAAAACGTGCGATCTTGCGACCCGATACTAGATACTTGCAATGGTATTATTGTCCCACGCCATTTGGTGGGGATAGAGGTCGAATGAGAACTTGATGGTCCATTCTCTCATGGACATACAAAGGACCGTCTGTGTAGCTCTCGATTCATGGTGACGTGACCTTCTGAGGAGCATCTCAAAGCTTATGAGGGTGACTTCTTGATCAGAAAACAAGACTTCGAAGTACCAACGGCCTCTTTGGATTCTTAGAAAAACCTGATTCTCCCTTTACAGAGTCATACTTGAAGGTGGTTGTGACGGTCCCTCTAGCTTGGTTATAGCCAATTATTTTGAGTTATTTCAGAGTACAATTTAAATGCAATGGATAGCCACGCACACGGATACGCAATCCAGCATCCATGAAATTGATTCTCTATTCATCTTTCCGTTTCGTCCGTCATGCCGCACTATTGCATCTAAATAACGCTTTAGACCTCCTGCAGCGTGGATGTCACGAGCTCAATACAGTCTTATCCCAGATGACCATTCACTGGCACATTTGAAATTCGTAGCACCAAGCCTTGACACTACGGAACAAAATTTAAAATCTTTAATCCTAAAACCTACCCCTGTCTCGGCTACCGATAAAGAATATGAGCAGCGGGCATGCAGGAATGCGGTTAGTCTGTTACTCAGTGAGCAAGCCGAATTTTCCAATGATAAAAGATGAGATTATGCATCTAGCGCTGTAGCTAGGTCACCACAAGTCTTACGCGACTTGACAAAGCAAAGAATGCAGCGAGGTACAGGGAGGATCGAAATCAGTTTCACCACTTACACACAAAGATTCTTGTCGAACTCCGCAGGAGAAGATTACCACCTTTCCTATTACAGATTGATGATTCAGCGCGGGCTTAGATCCTATATTACTGTTTTTGTATGTAAAGCGCACGTAAGCGTACGTATGGGCTATACAACTAGCCTATACGAATCAGACAAGATCGCTCAACTCGATCGAGCACCTAGATAGAACAACCCTCTCTGAATGGTATCCAGCTGTACTAGTTCATACGCGTTCGCCCCTATCCGACAATTCTTTCTCGAACCCTCTTTCAAAACACGCTTTACCTATTATAGTTACTCTATCCCTGACCCCGTTTCTTGGCAGTATTCTAATACAATCGTAAATAATACACTTGGATTCGAAATTGGCTTCCATATTAAACAGGCACAGTATCTCAAACCCTGACACTGGGACCATGGTGAAACTACCTGGTCATTTAGCTAGCTCACAGAACTCCCTTCGTGTCACTTCAATACTGTAAAGTATCTCACAAGGCTTATACACTACTTTCCTGCATCGTTTGATTAATTGGTATTCTTTCTGCCAATTTTGCCTTGGCCGCCTAGGCGCCTTCCTAGGAACCCCTAAAAGGTCTGCCAAGACAAATGCCTATAGGAGCCAAAATATTCTGCCATTTATTTCCGTCTTCTCGGACACATAAACCACCACCTGTTCCCCCTCAGGGCCATAGGTTCTATTCTACCATCCTCGCATCAATTTCGACTTGCCATAGTGCACGGCACAATAACACGACATGGTGGGAAGACAAGTATCAATGATAAAACAAGATTACGGTGAAATCGGCCAATCATTAATTGATGAAATAACGGATACATTGCGTAACGCAGTGTTATTCTACATTGCCGAACAAAAATGCTTTCAGATCACTAGCTTCTCTGAAACACAGCGAGGAAAATGCGTTGAAATACTCTCTCGAGTGCAATGTACTGCTTTCCACTTAAGAATCAACGAAGAAACCGACCAAGACATCATACGTTTTCAACTCATCCCTATTTTAACGGAGAGAGACCTTGCCCGAACAGCGCACGAATTTGCTCAATCCAGGCATGATTTTATCCAAGGGCAGCGCGACTCCCGAAGCCGGAGTGCCATCCGAACACGATTGGAGAGACTGCGAAAAGAGCGACAGCTATCACCTCGAAACCTTTGATCATCTTCGTCTCGTCATATCTACGACAACGAGGGCGCAGCCTACCTTACAGCAATGTGGCTAGCGCTCACAAAACCATAACGGTAGATATCTCGCACGGCGCCGGATGCTCCGAAAATATATCCCAGCTCTCGCGCTTGCACCGATGTTATTTGTGGAAATCCGCCGGACTTTTTTACGCTCTCCGTATGTGATCAAAAGAAGGCATTTTAATTCTACATATGGCACTGAATATCTCGCCGCGGATTCCTCCATGCAATTAGCCATTCCGGTCGAAAGTTTTGGGTTTCTCGTCTTTTGCGTACCCCGCCCTCGCTGTTCTATCTCGGCTCATTGAGAATATCAGGCGTTGCTAAATAAGGATCCCTTGTCTCCTTTGTGTCATGCCATTTGAATGTAACATATTCAAATGAAATCTAATTCCTGGTGATTGACTAGTTCCGGCTTCTTGCCAATCGAAATGATTGGTGATATAGATGATGTAAGCTAGATTAGATCACATGATCTTAGTAAGCACATAGAATAACCGCGCGCTCAGAGATACCGACAGATGCATATACTCGACTGGATATCTATTGGTCCAACTTCACCGCCCTGATTACGTGTTCCGACATGAACACCGTAGCACGTGATAAAGCCGTTCAATACCATTCAATACTTGAGACGGAGCTAAGTCGGAAATGGATTAGTGTGTTTCGCACTAGGGTTCGAGATAGATTCTATGGGTGCAAAGTGGTGAAACTAATTTCGATCCATCCTTTACTTGTATAACGAGCGACTGAAATGAAATAGTATCTTTATTTTGAAGTATTTAATCAACGTTTTGTCTCAAACCTTGATCTTTGTTAACATGGTGTACCGTGAAAACGTACTCGCCTAAGACATAACGTAGCCAAAGCCCTTCAAATAACATGATCCGCATGAGATTCATGCCTGTATTTCATAATCATCACATGTGTGCAGAATTATCTTCCGGCCTTCTGTTCTTCTGTGCTCGAAGGAAAAGCGCTCCAGGTGTGGACATCGCTAGTAGAGCACCATTTCCAGAACCAACGCCGATGCCTACTTTTGCCTTAATTGGGAGTCCCAAAGACCTGGTGGCGCGTGATCTCTGATTCGCAATAAGGGTAGGGCTAGATTTGGCACTGAAAACGGCAGGAATGACAAGAGCCCCCCGAGTCAAATAATTTACAAGATCAGTATATCTTGTGATTTTCTGTCGGTCGTAGTCAGAAACCATAAAAGACTTTTAACGAAAGGTTTGAACTCTTATTAACGGCTCTGCTAGCTCTTTGGTCAAGTGAAGAAATTCTAATGCCGAGGCAAGCACCGCATCGGAATTCCATGGCAATAAAAAAGGATTTGACTGCAATTGACCCGAGCTTTGGAAAAGAATCTCCCTTCGTCTTGCTATCCCAGCCTTCAATTACAATGATAGACACAAGAATGTAAATTATGACTCACTGAGAGCCATTCTTTAGCCATTGCTACATCTTTTCCATCGCTATGGTTGTCAAGCCTTCGTAAGAATGAACATCAAAAGATTCCAATTTGATGGTGACATTGGCGAGAGCCTTTATGGAGCTTCCACCTTGCGTGAGATTCTTCATTTCCCAAGTATACGAGAGTAAAGTATGCCCATGTGTTCATAACATAGCGAAGTATTGCACTGCACATCGCTACTATTTGTCGTGCTATTGAAATTCCTGACGCGCTTGTATTTCTGTTGCCAAAATTCAGCCAATGAATGCTATATGAATGGGTGTGCTATAGTTACATTCATTTTTATGTTAAGAATGCACTTGAATTGGTCGTCCCATTGTTATAAGTAAGGGAAACCTGAAGCATTCACGATATTTCATATCGTCTATTGGTCGCTCTTGAGCACTAAATCTCCTCAAATCTGCAGTTGCTGTTTTCTCTCATCTTCAATATTGGCAAACAGAATGACTAGGAAACGTGCAATAGACCTTACAGGCGCAGATGGGCTAGACAATAAAAAGCGAATACGACTTTTAGGCATCATCGACCGACTTCGAGAACTAGGCATTAGTGAAAATGTCTCTCTTCCTCAGGTAAGTGAATCTATCTGTCTCGGGCATGATCTTCGACTAATCAATTTTAGCTTGTTGTAGTCGGTGATCAATCGAGTGGCAAGTCCTCCCTTCTAGAAGGTCTAACTGGTCTTTCGTTTCCTGTGGCCAGTGATCTCTGCACAAGATTTGCCACCCAAATTGTTCTGCGGCGAGCAGCAGAGGGGGAGGGTCAAGCAAGGATTACAATAATCCCAGGACCATCTTCGCGACTCGACGAAGCTTTAAATCAGAAGCTCCTAGCTTTTGAGAAAGGATTAGCAGCTACAGACTTTGGATGTCAAGAGTTCGAAGACATCTTTGACGAGGTCAGGACCGTATCGTGTCGGTATTTTAGGATGTGTGTTGATTCAATAATAGGCTGCTAGCTGTATGGGTATACCGGGACCTAGAACGAAGAACCTGGAAGATGTAGAGAAAAGATTCTCAGACGATATACTCAAAATCGAGCTCTCAGGTCCAGATCATCGACATCTTAGTGTTGTGGATGTTCCGGGCCTCTTCCACAGTAAGAAGACCCTCAGTCACTTTGATGACTTGGCTAAACTCAATACGAGATCCGACCAAATTTCAAACTGAAGAAGACCGTGCAATTATCCGGAAGTTAATCGAGGGTTATATGACTGACAAGCGTACCATTATCCTGTAAGTACAGTTTCAAGTTGCCATGGAAGAGCTGTTAAACTGACATACGTTATCAGCGCTGTTATGGATGCACGTAATAACCTTGCGAACCAAGAAGTGTAAGGAAGATTGTTCCGGTTCAATGCCATGTGTGCTCATTTATACCAGGTTTTCCATGGCACGTGCCGCTGATCCAGCAGGAAAGCGGACTGTTGGAATCGTCACCAAATGCGATGCTCTTCAGGTAGGAGATGAAGCTGGTGTAAGCATTTAGTCATCTCGATTCAAGACGGTACTGATCACTCATCAGGTTTTGCGTATCGCCAAAAATGAAGTGGAGAGTCTCACTCACGGGTGGTTTGCCGTACGAAATCGTTCCACTCAGGAGATTAAAGAGGGTGTTTCCATCGAGGGCCGACATCAAAAGGAAAAAGAGTTCTTTTCAACAGTTCAGCCTTGGGCTGAGCTCTAAAAAGATCGAGTCGGCATCAAAGCATTGAAGTCATTTCTGGGCCAACTTTTGTATGATCACATTCGTTCTGAATTCCCTGCGGTTGTGGCGGATATCGAAAGGCTTTCTCTGGAGACACAAAAAGAACTAGAGATTCTTGGTCCTTCCCGCCAAACCCCTGCGGAGCAGAGACGGTTCTTGACGCGCCTGTCATCAAATTATCAAAATGAAGTTGATAATGCATTGGATGGAAATTATAGTGCTGGTTTGGAAGCACAAAGCCCGCTCAAGCTTCGAATGCACTTGCGGCAGCATGCAGATGATTTCGCTAGGTCAATGGCTAAAGAGGGTCATGCCAAAGTTTTTCGTACGATTCAAGATGAAAACGATCCATAATTCAGCAGGCCAGCAGGTGACTCCGAAAATATATACGACTGGATACGACGTTACTACCTTGAGTCTCGTGGCTCTGAATTACCTGGCACTGTAAATCCAATTGTGCTTCAAAACATGTTTCGCCAACAATCAAGTCCATGGGAAAAGATTGCGGTGATTTATCTCGAAAAAACAGCCTCTGTGGTGCACTCCTTCAACCGACATATTTTCGCGAAAATCATCCCCGACGATGACGTGAGAGAGAAGGTAGAAAGGATTTTATCTCATCCGGGAGAGGTGACGTACCACCAGGCCCACGAGCAGCTTTTGATGATACTGTAGTGAATGATGAAAGAGGAGGAATCCTTCAAACTGTGAACCATTATTTTGCTGACACTTTGTCGTCGATCCGCCAGGACAGAGTGATGGCCAGACTGGAAAGTCTTGGGCTCTGGGATGGCTGTGCTTTTGACATGAAAACAGTATTGACAGGGGCGCACTTGAGCAATGAAGAACAAGCTGTTTTTGACATACATGACATATTGAAAGCCTACTATAAGGTATGTAGCTATGAAGCGCTTTATGGACAACGTTGTCGTTCAGGTTTCTGAAAGGTACATGTTAGGGGAGGGCGGCCCGGTGAAAACATTTTCACCTGATCTCATTGGCGCCTTTGGGGATGATATGCTGACTGAAATTGCCGGTGAGAATTTCTCCACAGCAAGCCGGCGAAATGACTTGGTTTCCACAGCCGCGCGATTCAGACAGGCACTGGAAATTGCGAAACGGGCTGTGTTATGATTTCAGGTAGTTTCAGTGGTAATTGAGGCTTGGAGAGCCTCTGAGCATTAGGTGCTCCTAATAAGAACTTGGCCGATTCAACATCGCCGGGTCAAGAACTATTGTATCCAGTTCTTCTGGGCATCGAGCCTACTTTTACACTAGTGTACATTGAGAGGAATTGCACTGCGCCTGCAATGGGTGCCAGGGTATCGATAACCTGGTAATGATGCCGCGAACCAAATGGCGGAAGCCGCTAAGCCTGGCGAAATCCCACTCTTTCCGATCGTTGTTATAAGCCTCAGACCCTAGGGACCATATGTGGTATTTATACAAAGAAGCACGAGTCAAGTCGACAAGGCTATCTTCCTTACGCCAGATAACATGTCATTTTATTCGCCCAGAATGCCGCTTGGTCAACATGTTCTCTAGATAATTCAAATTGTCGATCGGTTCTCCCGTTCCAAGATTTGACCTCAGTTTGATGAGATTCGACATGCTTGGCCAAAAGGCCAAAAATTACCTCAAACGACTTGCCGTCTCGGATTTTTACAAGCCTTAATATGTTACTGAAATACAAGGACTGTTTTACTTCGTTTAATCAGCATATCCTGATTTCATGAGTACTTTGCGCAATATTCCCGTCCACTTTTTTTCACTGCGTCAACGCCTGTGGAAGGCAGGCGGATTTCCCTCATGTATCGCGGTGGATGAAGGAAGACCCTCAATTGTACGATCGCATGCAGACTATCTTACAGAACGCCCAGGCGGACTAATAGTTGCCACAGCTTTGTTCGATCAAATTCAAGGATCGAGTTTAGCAATTTAGTCATCTAATTTGAGAGTCAACCATCCAGCTAAGTTCATTTGGTCAAGCCTCTTCGAAACCTCTGGGAATAACTAAGAGACTACTTTTAATCGATAGCCAATAAAACTGCCGAGCAATTCAACGTATCAAGTTAGAAATTGCGCCTTTGACTTTGACTTTGAGGCATAGGTTCGCTTTGACTATTACGGTTATAAGCGGAACGGATTCTTGTTAGAGTACACCTTCCCTCCCTTCGGTATCGCTGCAAATGGTCGTAGCGTTGAGATTGGGTTGAGGACGTTGAAAAGAATTAATCGAAGTTCAAGGTTACTTGCGATGAAAAGCTCACTCCAGACAATGCCAACTTGGAAGTGCGGTCCGAAATAATCTACACTTAAAAGCAGCATTGTCTCCTTTACCATCGAAAAGAAATAAGATTAATTTCCCTCTGTAAGACCGCCTCGCTCATGCCCAACACAACCTGCCATTCTTTACTTGTTTCCGTGACTACCTCTTATATACGCGTGAATTAACATGCTCTTCCTTGAAAGAGGCTTTCACTCTCAAAGTATCAAGATGAAATATTATTTCTACATTCTTACGAGAGGTATCGGAATGTTTCTAGTGCTGTTTGGTGCTCTCTTACTCGCACTTCTTGGCAACGGTCATGGTTATGTATTGTTTACCCAGCAAGTGTGATAGCGTTTATCTTAAGTCGCATGTAAGTATGAGAATTGATATTCTGGAGTCAAGATGCTTAAAGCTTCAATAGATTCCGGACAATCTTTTACGATCCAAAGAACTCAGTTCAGTCTTCAATACACGACACCGATCGAAATTATACTTGATCATAATTGTGATACGCATGGCCTCAAAGAGCGAATTGATATGTTGGTTATTCCTAAGTGACTGGCCATCTTGATGACCTGTTGAAAAGGGGTCACGAAGCTAAGTTACTACGCGTTACGACACAGCTTTTCCGAAATGGCGATCTCGGTATTGTCAATTTTAAATGTGTGGGGATGCAGTGGGAAAGGCTGAGGGACGATGATATATTGAACTCTCTCTGTAAGAATTAGCTAAATCTTTAATTTACACTGACATATAATCAGTACTAGCACCCCAGTACTCTAAGAAATCAGAGGCCCCTTTTTTCCTAATGGAGCTTCGGATCTACTCATCTAATGACCAGAATGCCAACCTTCGTGTTTAATAACCCCAATTACACGATGTAGCATAGCCTCCGGTAGGTTAACAAAAATGACTAATTGGAAGCTTCGCCCATATATTATGCGCTGTATCTACTAGCCGTGCCTATGCCTCCTCGTTATTAAACATCTCATATAACTAGCCATTAGTGTAATATGAAGGCGGTGTAAAAAAGGCCAGCATCGGAAGTGCTGGCTCGCAAATACTAATGGAAATGCCACTGTAGAGGACGGGAATCTCTGAAAGCCGGTCACAAATGGCGTTCAGCGTCATAGAACCGCTAGTTGATAGTAAGCTAAAGGGGTTGTATGAGGATTTGGACTGCCAGAACTGCACATTTTTGCATTAGAGTTTTCGCATTTTGCAACTAAATTATACGACACTGCAGATCTGATCGCAGTAGCATGTATCATACAGTACATGGAACTTAAGTTGGCATTTCAACAAATTCCTTCAGGAGACTTGCTTCAAGAGAATTTTACTCGTTTTGCTAACGAATCTAAGAAATTTCATCTAACGATACGTTGTTCAATTGTCGTGTATGTAATTTATGTTCAATCATGTATTTCTAAGTGCATGGCAGTATGACCGTGGAGTTGTCAAATCCAAAAATACACCCCGGAAAGGAATCACGCCCTGGCTCCCGAGTACCGTCCACCAGATGAGTGCTTAAGAAATGCTCGCGTCCTGATGAATGTCAAAGTCTTTTTTTCACAGGTGCTTGCACTGTAACTCTTGTATGATTGATTGCTAGCCATTCTAACAAGCCGCTTCGCAATAGGCGGGAATATTCATGCCGTTGAAAAGATGGGCTGTTTATTTACTTGAAATGGGTGTCGAGAAAAGACGCGCCACAAATATAAGGCCATCTGACATGAGACGAGGAACATACCTTCGCGCAGCAACTGAGACGAGAGGTAGATATATTCCGTTTTAAGAACAGTCTTTCGATGTATTTGGATTTGAAGAACAATTAACTTGGCGAATCCTAATGATCGAGGCAAACAAATTTCGAAGAGACGTGCAGCTTTCAGTTCCCCTTTTCTAAGAATGCAGTATCACATAAAAATACGGTATTTCCCGTCCAAACATGCACTTGTACCAAGTGTTGAATGCATCTCATCGTATGTACTACGACTAGCTCCGCTGTGAATTGCCGGCCGATGAGATCCCTCACAAATCAGCTATCTTCTACTGGAAGCGTGATCAATAGTTACCATTACTTAGTTATTGTGGTTCCTTCGATTTGGACGCACCGGAATCAAGTTTGCCAAGAAAATCCGAGACGTCAAAGTTCTCGTGCTGTCTTGCGATACTTTGGGCCGTGTGTCCTGCATGGTCTGCGATATTTCTTGAAATCTGAGGGTGCGCGCACAAATCTTGCACAATGTCAAGATTTCCGCCAGCAGCACCATACCAAAGTGCAGTTCTGCCCCAGTGGTCAGTGGCGTCGATTTCAATATCTGTATGCTGCAGCAATTTCAGCACGATTTCGCGAAAATCCCGAGACGACGCGATCGTCAAAGCAGTCAGACCATTTCCTGCTCCATGGTGAAGTGAGAGCCTTGGCTTATGGTTGAGAAGTAGATGCGCAATTTGCACATGACCGAAGCTCAGCGCCACATGAAGCGGCGTGGTTCCAGTTGAACTCGGCTGGCTGGCGTCAATGGACTTGTAGCTCAGTAGCTCTTTCACCGCTCGAGTCTGGCCCGCACGACAAGCAGCCCATAAGGGAGGTACACAATGTGCCTCATGTGTATTGGTACTAATGCCAGGCTGGCTTAGTAGAAGTCTGAAAACTCGGTAAGTGCCTTTCTCGGCTGCGTGAGCTAGGGGAGATATGCCATAGGTGTCACAGTCGCATATGTCAATGCCATCGACGCGGAGCAAGTAGGAAACGAGCTTCTCATCATCTGTGCTCACTGCGTGCCACAGAGCGGTCCTTCCATCTTGGTCTTGGTGATTGATATCAATATCAAGACAACTTGAGAGCAAGCAAGCAACCATCTGAAGTGCAAATCTCGACGAGGAAAACTGACTGTAGCTTTGAACAACCTCATGTAGAGCATATTCCCCCTGAAGGCTGACAAGAGCTAGTTGAGCGGTGTCAAGGGAGAGTATCATTTCGGCCGCGATACAATCTCCGTCTCTGACAGCAGCGTGAAATGTTCGTTTCAAGTTGAGTCTTGCTTTCTCATCCATAGTCGTGCGGGGATCCGATAGTATTAATTGGAATATATAATATTGTTCGTTATCGAAGGCATGCCTTAGCGGAAATGGAACCTTGTGCCCTGTGTCCTGGAGATCCAAGTCCATGGTAAGAAACCGTTTGACGATTGCGCTCGCACCGTTCCTGATAGCGATATCCATTGCTGTCTCATCATTCTCATTGCGTAAAGTAATGTCAATGGTGCTTTCGCTCAGCAAAAAGTCAACAGCCTTCCAATCTCGATTCTCACATGCTAGCATCAATGCAGTTGACCCGTGCCAAGAAGCATTGATATCTGCTCCGCAATCATCTAATAAAACCTTCGCCATTGCTAATTTATGAAATTGCACTGCACGGAATATGGGTGGCTTTTCGTCGCTCAGTAAGTGTTGAAGCATGTTTCTTCTGAGATGTGGATACAATTGGCGACAGACAGTGGATAACTTAATAGCCTCTGCTTTCGTGAAGAAGTTGGTGATATGGCCAAGCAGTTCGATTGGTAGGTTAAGCAAGCCCATTGTGTTTCTTTGGCTGGGCCGGTAAACGATTCCAAAACGGTCAATGCAAGGTCCTTCGAGGCGGGCAAGCTGAAGGTTTATATAGGGCTGCTAATTGACAAAACATCAATGATGAAACGGAGGGGTAACCGGGGCTTGTAGTCGTCCAGGGGCGGCGAACTCTAGGAGATACTCTTGTTGGCTTCCAGGAATACATTATTTTTCGCATTAGTATCCTGGGAGCTCGTCGAGCTGCGTCGTTTGCTCCTCAGAGCCCCCCGAAGCCCAAGGTCGAGGGAGGAAATGAAGCATGCGGAGTATGCGGACCCACGTGGTGTGTCTGGGCTCCCCTGAGCGCAAGGGAGCTATCCTTCTTTGATTCTTCGTGCTGCATTCTGTATGTATCTAGAGTGAACTACAGACTTATTAATTTTGACCTTTCTTGGAAGGTACATGAGACCGTCCCACTTAGACGCTAGACTCCAACAACTATTTTTTCTTGGATCTAAACAGGAAAGTATAAAAGTCGCGAGCCACATAGCTTTTCTCGAATGTTTGATCGCATGTGAGTCGTCGGAACTTAAAGCCACATATCGGATGATGGTAGCTCGCTTCCGAAATTTAGGAGCTTGGAAATGTCTTTCAAAGATCTAGATAGACTCTGCGCTTCCTGGGCTAACTGTATGGAGGACCTCAAGTTGAATGGTAAAACCACCAATCCATGATCTCATGATACGTGGATATGAATACAGATGGCCGCTATAGTCAATACAGTATCAATCTAGCCCTCTCGGTGGGTTTTTGCAACGTTTGAAAGGGTCCCAGGAGCCTTCTCACATACTGTGTTGGGCCATAGAGGTCATGGAGGCCATGGAGGCCATGGAAAAATACGTTGATTATCGTTTTTGCCATTTCCAAGTTGCTTTAAGAGGTTATGTTCTTTCAGTTCCAGCAGAACCTTTTGAAATTACAAATAAATATGGGGACTTACGTTCTGATTTGCATCAATGACTCCCAAGCCTATCACGCCTGCCACAAAGCACTCAATTTTATTAAGAAATGCAGTCTTTCACATTTGGAAAACAGAGCACGAGAGGTACTCTAATACTCCCTGTTGTGGTTGCACGTTTAGGAAGCAGAATCCTCACTTTTCACTGGCGGATTTCTAGCGACCTCGGGCATGTCCTAATTCAAGTCCACAGACACTCCATTTTACCATTACCAAAACGACGTGCATGCGAGACACTAAGTGCGTTGATCGGAGGGAGGAAGGTGAACTTCTTAGAGACAATCATTCTGAGGCCAACGACCTAATCGCGATATCGATAGCGATCTCCGTGGGCGACGTTTTCACGGTGAAACAGTTTCTCTGCCATTATCCGTTAATACCATATCCGTTAATACCAACAGCTTCAGCTCTAACACACAGGAGTTACTGTATAAAGCACTGGAATATCAGCAATGCAATCTTTGCCACACTTCTACGAGATCACCGGTTTAATTTCAATACAGAAGACTCAAAAGGCCCAACGGCGCTTCATTGTGCTGTGATTTATGCTGATCCCGCTGCAATGAATCTTCTTGTGGTACCAAACAATGTTAATTTGAATGACGCATATTCTTCTGGGGACAGTGCGCTCTTTCTCCCTCCCCGGCTCTACTTACTTGAAGCTAGAGCGCACGCAGAGCGTTTAACAAGCATACACCGATTGATACTTGTGGATTCTAGAAACCCCAAGACCTTGAGAGTTTGATAGTGTAGCAGGAAAACGAATGAAGCCCGGAAAGAATATTCGACCATCTATATTATGGCTCAATAGCCTAGCCGAGATAGAAAAAGTTGATATAAGAAAGCCATATGTATCAAAGATACATATTGTATTAGACTTAAAATCGCTTAGACCCTGGAGATGTCTATATTTCATCTCATTGTTTCCCTTGTCCGACGTATACGGGACAACAATGACTGGTCAACTCTCCTCGAAACTCCGGATCATAGTAAGGACTTATTTCATCGAGAGTAGCTACGTACCGACTTCGTCCGTTTCGCTTTCTATGCGAGTTTTTGTAATGTGTCTTGAGATTATCCAGGCGCGAGAATACACAAGAGCATTCAGGAACCCAGCATGCATGCGGTTTTTCCTAGATGTGAGTCCCCATATAGCGCTTTAGATGTTCTCGGCGCTTGAAACTTTTCTGACAACGGGCAACTGGGCACCTATTGACCAATCTTTTGGTTGAAGAGAAAGAATTATTCACGAACTTCTCAAAGGTATCACTGCGCGGAATATATGTGCGTACGGTCTGACAAAGCCCGTCATGAACGAAGGTACCCGTAGAGCCTTGTACGCTGTACTCTTTGCTATCACTGGAGATCATGGATGGCGCTTTATGCAACAATTCGGCATCGGACATTTGGCTCATCGGGCGAGCGTCACTCATTGATAGAAACTCGGGAGGCTCAAAGTAGATCTCGCTGGGGCTGACGGTCTGTGGAGATCCAATCATTTGTCTAGAAGCGTGTTGGATAATGGTAGTTCGAAGAACATCCAGTCCCGCTTGCAAGAGGTGGGTCGGCATAAGTCTCCAATATTGCACTGAGACCAGACTTCTAAATAGCTGCTGCCGTATTCTGAACAGCAATTGCAAGACATAGGTCGAGGAAGTTGTGCAAGTGTTGCCTCACGGTGGGTGAGCATACCGTGAGATGTGTGGTGATTCCAGATCACCGCCAAAGGCCTGACAGCTGAGTATGTTGTTTTCCTTGACGATTTTTCCTGTAGAATACATTCATGGTCGGTCCTAATAAATCCCGAGAAGACAATACCGCCTATTAAAGACCATTCAGGATATGTTCATTTTCTTGGCTTATTCCCGAATTAGCCAAACAAAAGGACACTCAATGCGCCCGCTAGTAATTCCTTGCAAATACTTTGCACGATCCACACGAAAATCCATGATAGTCGAAATTCAACACGGGATTGTTTATTTTAAAAAGTTTTGGATTCGAGAACACCAAGGAACGATGTCCAATTCTTTTCATGAGATGACTAGAAGTGGCGATATACAAAACCGGTCGATGGTTTAATGTCCTATCCACGACTCTATCTTTACTGTAGTGTCTCAACTACTGTGCGGAAGTGTGATTTTAAACCATTCAGAATCGTCAAACGCCTTGAATACGTTGCATTGAAGCCTTTTCTGAAATATACCTCATTAGCCAATCTTTCGTCACCGGATATTATTTTCTTTGCCCTCTTTGGCCATGTGGTATGTACCTATGCTAAGTGGGCGTGGTGGATAAATACATTGTACATGTTTAAACTCCAAGACGGTCTTTCTAAACAGTGCTTGCTGGATGACCGTATTAACCGTGATTTGAATGCGTTACGCAGAGCGAAAAGGCGAATTGACCTGCGAACATCTTGACCAAGGGTTATCTTTTTTAGTACCTGCACTTTTATCTTATTTCTTGCCAGCGTAATCTTTGCTCAGCAACATCAGGTCTTGGGGTCGCCTGGGTCGACGTCTTCGGGCTATTGGCCTCATATGATATGAGAACATTAAATAAGAGTCCCGAATATAATAGGCAGACCTTGATTGTTTACCAGGTCACATCGTTGACGCAAGTGGCAAACTCATTGAGGGGGTGATTTCCGATAGGGAAGGTTAAAACTTTGTCCTACGGACTCTAAGCGGTCCCTAACAGAATAATAGGGTAGTCTCATATTGCTTTCCGAACGTCTTTCAAGAATTACGTAAGAGATATCGGTCGGTCTCGAACCCCTTAGAGACGTGTCCCTGGATTCCATAATTTGTTCTGGTTTTATACGCTGCATACTCTACTCCTCAAAAGCGGGAGGGAGTCGAGGAGAGTAAAAGAATCAAGTGGGGAGGAGGAACTAACAACATTCAAAGCTGCGCGTGGGCCATTCGATTTTGGCTTCCCGCAGGTCTCAACCACAGTCCCTCAGCCGCCGGAGTGGAATTCGGCGTAGGACTTAATTAGGTGGAGTAAAAATACAGTGCTTCGCAATTGTACCTTTCATAGCAATACTCAGGCCAACGACATAGTGGCCTCATCCCACAAGTTAAGAATACACCCAGCACATTCAATGGGAGGTTTGAAGAAGGGAAGAAACAGAGCGGGGGATTCGTCAATGCAGCTGAGAAAGAACAGGCTTAACGAAATTAAGCTTCTTTCCTCTGGGCGATTGACACCGGTATGTCACCGTCGTATTTATTGCGGGTATACCTAAACCATGGATCTGATTTTACAGGCTCCGTTTACTCCTCTGGTTTCATTCCACATTGGTACCATATTCCCGTCGCATACATTATGTACCCGCTGTGGATGACCTTACATGGGTGGTTCCCTTTCTAAAGTCAATTTCGCCTGGCTATTCTTTTGTACCTGGACATCGGAACTCTGTTCAATAACATCACTCCTGTCAATGTTTCTATGGATTATATTACTAGATCATTATCTGCGCAGAGAGAGCTGACTGATCTCCTTCGCCTTTTTGGTCCAGCCTATTCAGGAGGCCTGCCATGGATTCCTCAGAATACGAACAGGTTTTCACACCCACCAATTTCTCCGCAGAATGGCGCCGGATGTTCAAGCCAACCATTCGACAGCGGAGCTCGGTCTACAGCATTCCGTTGTCTGAAGTTACCTCCGAGCAAGAAGACTGTCCTTTCGAGCACGATATTGAAGAGCCACAACAGGGGACGAACGTTGAGATGAGATATGAAGACCAGTGCGGTCTTTCTGAAGAGAGTGGCCTAGCCAGGCATGCTTCTTTGGAGAGAGAGGAGTATGTGAAGACCCGCCAAGAGCTGATACCGAATATACCGAGAGAGCTCTTGGATACATTTGCTACTCTAAAGAGGTTGGTCGTCGTCCTGTAAATTATTCGTTGTGGTCCCAGCTGATGTTATGATAGCTTAGATGTTCGAATGCAGTAAGCGACACTTGGTCATGCGATTATTTGCTTACTTTCTTAATTTCACAGCCAATCGGCATTGGTTGCGAATACTGACATTCTTCTGACAGGATGATGGAAGAGCAGTGTCGAAAACAGGATCTCTGGAATGAAACGACACAGAAAGATATGGAGGCTTTGGCTAAGAGCTTCAACAAAGTTGGGGAGTTGGAATCCACAGTAGCCGCCCTGGAGGGTCAAGTCAAGGCTATCCGTGGTAGGAAGAGTGCAGTTTCTGTGAGACACAACGCAAAATGACCAGGTGTTTCGCACTTGAAAACAACCACTGTCTCTGGAATTGCGATTGGTTGGAGCCTAGCTTTAAATGTGCAAGATTTTGGAGGCATCATACAAAGCGAGTTTGAAAATGGATTTCAAATGCAGTTTAGATTTCTCGAAGCAAGTAAATTTTCCCGGGAAACAAACACTCGTGCGCAAAGTCAGGAAACAGGCGAAAGAATTCGGTCCAATTCACAGACCACACTCGAAAGTCAAATGCAGTGAGCCCGAAGCAGAATTTTTCATTGTCTATCTGGTTTAGAGAAATGGCGGAGCGTGGTGCTGTCCCATACCCAACTATGTGTAGACTGTGTAGACTGTGTGGGGCCCCATTAGGGCCATCAAACGTACCGGGCGGATCTAAGCTCACACGTACATCAATAAAATACAGCGAGAATCAGACAGTTCTATTCGCTGGTATACGAGAGCTCAGGAGAGGAATATTCATGATTTCATGGTTTCTGGGGGGATGACGACGCCAGGTACCTTGCTCCATCCACGGTCGGATTCCAGAATGTGTTCCTCCATGTCGATCCCGGCGCTAATCCGCGCCACTCTTGGACAAAGATCGGCTGTGGCATGTGTTCCACGTTATCTCCGGCAGTCTCGTCCTGGGGTACTTACGATGTATCACGGTCAACATCGATATTTAGTGTCGGAGGGGCTCCTGAGTTGTGATTCACCGTAGAACCGATACTGTAACTTGGGCTGTAGTTGGGCTTCAGTCTCACTTTCTGCTTCTACCCGATATTACTATTTGTCTGCAGGGCTCATTATCTGTCCACGGGCTGTGGTGTTGATCTGCAAGGGGTGTTAAGGATTCCAAATACTTGTTTTTGGTTCAACCAGAGATCCTGCGTATGCATGGATACAGTACAGTACAGAATGATGGCAATACCGGCGGCAAACCTCTAGACTGACCAATCATCATGTAGCTGTAGACCCACGAATATCAATCCTGCGGCCATTTGATTGTGGGTCAAGCCTTGTTGCTCTACTTGAATCAGCCTGCTGACGATGTGTGCTTCCATACCAACATTCACAAATTAAGATGGTGTGAATGCTCGAAGTCGTCCCCTGTTATAAGGTTTAAGGCTTCTGACCAGCTATCTGCCATAATGTTTCCTTATATTTATAGACTCTGACGGTTTCCGCTACACTTCTGTGCTTGACAACTTATCAAAGTTCAACAAAACCATGGCTCAGTGGACCCCTGACTTCTTGCACATTGGTGGAAGCTTCAGGCGAACTAACGGCTTTGTGTTGCTCTAGACTTTCGTCTCTTTTCCGCTAAGAGCTTTACAATCTCCATTCTTCACCGGAGAGACAAATTGCTTTCCCATTGCCTCCAGCTTTCCGATTTTTTTGACCATCTTGAGTGTTGTGGAACGAAGATCAACATGAAGCCGGATTTGTTGAATATCATCCATAGTCAAACGGCCGACGCTGCTGAACAACAGGAGCTCCCCGCTGGAGAACCCAAGGCCACTTCCCCAATTGTTCCTACCGATACGGACAGTGCTGCCATCAAAACTGTGACAACTTGTCAAGAGCCAGTATGTTCATTGCCCCCGTTTCTTTCTTTTGAAAGTCACAACATAAAGCATTTGCGAATTCATGATCTCTTCGCGTGACGTAACACTCCTTTTATCACTGAAGATATCTCAGGAGCCCCGCGTCATCAAATCACGCAAGAAGAAGATCGCTCGAAAGATCCATCGAAGATGTTTGGAAGTGGCACGTCAGTTTGATGATGAGTTCGAAAAGGCCATTAAGGAGCGGGACGAGCAGATGCACGAGGATCGTAAATTGATACAACGACTCCGGAATGAGAACCGCAAGAAAGCATCGAAGCTGCGACAAACCGTTGTTGAAAGACAAAAGGCTTTGGCTGAGAAGCTCATCCTCGAAACCGAGGTTCGTCAGCTTAAGCAGCTGTTGAACCGTTCCCGTGACTCTGGCGATGGCTGTATTTCCTGGGCTGCAGTTCAGCCTACCCTATATCGTGTGCACGATGAGTTGCGGGCATCCCTTAGCCAGTTATGGGATACGATCGATATGGTGCAGAGATGACGGCAATCCAAGTTCCAGTCTGGAGTTAATCAATCAATCATCTCAATTGGTTCCCCTATGACTAGCACATACCAGTATCTGTCAATTCGACAGTTATGAGCCCGGTTGCCCGCTGCAAAAGTTATTGAGATACATCAGACCGCTCTGCTCTGTATCTCAGCAGCGTACGAACTGCCGAAGCGCCCGGGTACCCCTGAACGGCACATGAGAGCGTTGCCGCCCACCATTTGCGCACAGCACGAAAGGATATAGTAGGGAAAGCAGTCTAAGGATGTCGAAAGGCATATATTCAGAAGAACTGAGGGCAGTGCCTCAGGACCAACGGCTGCGGTCAGAAGGTCAATGGAGAGTCTGGATAGGCCATATGCGGTCAGCAGCTCTCGCAGAGGATGTTTGGAACTACCTGAATCCAGATCTTCCTGAAGAGAAAGTTCGACAGGTACCAGAGGCAGCTGAAGAGCCTAAGCCAAGCACTATTCGAGAAGATGTGGAAGACGAGTTTGACCTCACAGAGAAGGAATACACCCAGTGGACTCGACGTATTCAAGCGCATGATAGGCGTGAGGCTCAGCGAGTGCGCCTACTAAAGGTGATGGCACGCATGAACAGCCTTATCACGCGCTCCCTCGCGTCCGAGTATCACTATCTCACCGTCGACGAAGTCTCGCCGTATCAGAAGCTAGTCAGGTTAGCTCGTGAATTCAAGCCAAAGCCAGAGACACGGACCGAAGAGCTTCGAGCCGCGTGGAGAGCCATGATCAAACAACCGGCGAATAATGTTGATATCAATCACTGGCTCACTGAGTGGAAGAATCTCTATGAGGAAGGCCTTGCTGCGGATGTACCTGATATCGCACACGGCGTTAACTACGCAATTCGAGATTTCCTCCGCGCCGTACAGCCGATTGATGACATCTTCGCATCGAGCTGGATGGATAAGATCCTTACGCAGAAGGTAACCTTCCAAGAGGTTGCTTCAGCTTACAGGACACGACGGATGACGTACCCGCTACAGAGAGTAGCTTCCAACGATCAGCTACAGAGAGTAGCTTCAGACGAATACACCTACCAGACACGCTGCCCATGCGGAAACGCCCAGCACCACTATAGCCAGTGATTCTATATCAACAGAGAGTTGAGGCCCGAAGGCTGGATACCTAGAGAAGGAGTAGAAAGGCGAATTCCTGAGTTCACGAAGCAGATGAGCCCGCAGGACCAGGGGGCTATACAGAAGCTTATGGATCAGAGAGATTCAGCGCAGTTCGCGGCAATATCAGGTGAATTAGACCTCGTTATGTGAAGTGGCAGAGAGCCTACTGCAGAAAGTCATATTGCAGAGAGCAATTATCGACTCGTGAGAGATACTAGCAAGACACGAGTGCACGCTGGGGGGGTGTGTCGAACTGTGAGAGCGGCCAAATACCGCTAGCACCCTTCGGGACATGATTATTCAGCGTGTACTCGATCCACCCACTATTTGTCTGGTAATCAGATGTGATCTTAATCAATCAATCATCTCAATTGGTTCCCTTATGACTAGCACATACCAGTATCTGTCAATTCGACATAGTAGCTTAATGGAGTATTACTGTAGAGACATATTTAGAAGCAGGTAGGCGAGACACTCAAGCTTACACGGGCAGACTGAATCCAAGGAATGCCGGCAATCCCAATAGCATTGAAGATAAATGTGTGCAATAGGTTCAGTTATCTGGATTTATTACGACTGACACTCGAATGATGATAGAGTGGTGTTTTCTTTCTTGAAATGAACAGGCTGTTTGTACGGAGTTTCGTCTAGTATCATACTACGGGGATCTCGTCCATGCGACTGCGTAAATCAAGGCATAAAGTTGTGATTCGGGGCCAAGATAATGCCCGTCCTATCCAATTTGCAACCAAAGAATAAGTAACTTGGATCTCTTGCCCACTTCTCCTTTGGCCACATAGACCGCTCTAAAAGTCCTACTAGGACGGAACATACTTTAACTACTCTCTCTTTCTAGATCTGGTCTATGCCAGTTCTTGATGACCAACAGGTTCCTAAATAATGATTTTTATATCAACAGTTTCGAACACAATCCTAGCAAGTTTGACGTATTGGTCCTTTGTATAGAACGATCTAAAGAACCACAGCCCAATCGAAAACGTACGCGATCGTTATTGGTGCAGTGATCGGTGGATTTAATCTAGTGTACCAAGTTGTTAGCAATGCGCTGGGAAGAAGCCTGGAAATGGGAAAAGTGGCATAGACGATACCAGAGGTTTTTGACAAAATGAATCTCTGCGAATCGCTTCCATCTGCTAGCTCTAGGTACAACACATCATTCTTCACAGTCCAAAGCAGATCCCCGTGTAGGACATTCACGGTATAGGAGTTATCACCCTGCGGTGACAAATCAAATGTAGTTGGTGTGTCGGCAGCTTCGCAGGACGCTCCACTTTGGAGGCCACATTTAACATAAAGCCCATTTCCAGCATTTCCTATGTTGATTCCTTCCTCGAACTGTTCAAGAATCCATGACTGTCTTTCCACTGAGTGTGTAAATATCAGGGTGTGATTGGGCTGTGAAGCAAGTGTGGCATCTCCATCTTGATGGAATATCGCGTATTGTGAGGCAGAGACCAGACCAAACAGCCATGCTAGAGAACCTGCCGCGAGAGAGAATTTCATCTTTGTGGAAGTTTGATGTATTGGGGGTAACAGTAGACGAAAAGGAGCGAGTGTTCGAAATTGGTCATCAAATCGGCACTCTACCTGAACAATTGCTCGCAGACGTGCGAAAAAGGTGCTCTTTATATATGCGCAATACGTGGCGTGATGTAAGCGCGAAGCCAATAAGTTAACTTAAGTTACTTAACATAAAGCAGTGATTTCACTCCAGCATTCATGACTACGTCATAATTGGCTTGAAGGAGAAGATCTACAGGAAGATCTGCAAACACAGCCTTCTTGCTGCCTAACACCTGGGTAAAGTAAGAGGCTAAAAGTTATAAGTAAGGAAGAGTTGACGTCACTCTTCTAGTCAGGATTTAGCCAGCACAAATGTGATATTCTGAAAACTCAAAACAATATCAGCAACGCACCGATCACTCCCACTTCAACTTTCCATCAATTCAAGGGGGTTGGATAAGGAGATCACATGATTGATGGGCTGAAGTCCTTCGTTGGGTGGGCCTTTTTATCATGTTCGAGAAATTCAATAGTGCTGCCGATCGGATCACGGAGTGGAGATCATGAACTTACTTCCTGTGCAGAATCTTGATGGAAATGTCGATCAGTGGGGTCTCATCTCAGCCTCGAGAAACCCCGAGATTGGCCGTGAGCTAATTGGAGAGAGCGAGCTGATGTGATGAAAATTTTATCACGGCCCGAAATCCACAGTATTACTCCGATTCGGACAAGATAGACAAGAGCTGCATCCCAGTATTGCAGTTTGAAGCGGTGGAGAGCTGGAGGTGATAAGTGGAGCGACCCGCTCGGACGGCGAAAATTGAATGCTCTACACCGACCTGGGCCATCCTTTAAGCTGGAACTTAGTTTACAATATGGTTTTATTTTTTCTCCAGCAGCCCTGTATTGAGGGTATCAAATTAGATATATTTGCCACTCTGCGCACGGTTGATTTAAGCGAATAACCGTCTATTTGGTCACAGTAGCACAGGAAACATGGATAAAGGCAAAAATATTCCAGTACAGTAAAACAATTTGTAGGCTCTGATTGTACTTATTGTTCATGTTTGCGTATAGCAGAATTGATTGCTCTCCGCCAAGGCTGGTTCTAGCTCTCTCTGCTTCCTTCTGTCATCCTCCGCATGGTCGACTCAATGGCGGACAGCCGGACGATGACGTTCTCGAGGTCAACTATTTCATCCAGATCTGTTTGATCACTCATCGAGTGTTGAATGCGACTGGAAGGGAATTAGCAGGTACTGTATTGCTTGCCTGAGAGAATAGTCTCACTAACTTTACGCGGGTGTCTAGACTGGAAGTAGGTTAGCATATACTGTATTTTGTTCCACATCGCACATGCTTCGATACTCACTCTGCGAGGCATTCCAGGACCATCGTGCCACGGATCTCAAGTTCATCGGGCAGGTCGGCGATCTCTATTCTTTCGGGATCGCTATGCAGGCTAACACCTTCATCTGAAGTACGTCGCCGTTTAACGCCTGCTTTTCCGTCCCTTTGCAGAGACTCCACGTTCTCAGGATGCGTCTCGTCTTCTGTGGTGTCTCCCGTAATGGAACTGGCTGAGCTGTGCGACTCATTAAATGCCGAGCTCGACGAAGAGAACGCACGTTTCAGTCTGCCCTCGAAGCTGGAAAATCCTCCTTGTTTTGTGATCCTTGGAGTGCAGCCCATAATGAAAATTGGACTGTGACGAAAACAATTTTGGTGACAAGCAGCTTTCCTCTATCTCACTCTAGAAGGCCGACCAGCAGATATTTGTATACCGAACGATGCTCTTGAATAAAGGACCCAGTGTCTCAACTGTTTTCGCGAATGGACGCTGTCGAGAATGCGGCCCCGGTGAGTTCGGTCAATCGAAATCCATGGAAGTTTTCCTGCAGGCATTGGTATATCCATGGTACGCATGGGGCGCTTGGTAGGCCTTACCTTGCGGTGCGCGCAGGACAGATGCCCAGGACAGAGAATAAGGAAGAGAATGACGAAGAGAATGTTACCACATGAGACAAGGAAGGTGATGAAGTATTTAGCGAGAAGTGGCTTTTCCCCAATACTCTAGCGCATTATCCAGCTGCTAGAGCATTGTGTCCTTTTTTGTTCATGCAGCTCAAAGTTGCGAGGATCCATCCTTAACGGAACCCGTCGGTCGTTCTGTTTTTGGAATGCTAAAGCTAATCTCATCACACTCCCGCGGCTTGGCTTCCTCCCCGGGGTCGACAATTGCACATGGCATAGTTCTAGAATCAATAATCGAGAAACCCCCACAGTTTCTTTCAGGCTACCATGGATGGAAATTGATCTCGTAGTTAATATAGCAAAAATCTAGACCCACAAAGGTACAGTGATCGACGACAATACGATTGAGAAAGGGCGCAAGTGTGAAGATTAATGTTACTGGGCCACAATACTGTATAATAATAATAATAATAATAATAATAATAATAATAATAATAATGAAAAAGGCAGGATTCTCTGGTAGCCCCAAGCTGTTTGTCCGTCGTCCCCACAATGATCACCAGAGTTTTTCGGTCGGCCAAGACTTGACACTCCGGCACGATCCACCTCGGTGTGGCGAAAGACACTCTATGTTGATATCAGTATCCCTGCTCCTATCGAGCCTTTGATGCTAGATGAGTTGAATGGCGTTGTCATTAGGCTCTGAAAAATTACGACGTATTCCAAAAAGCTCTATCTATGGGTCTGGTGAGGCCGTAAAAAGACTAAAAGACTGATGCCGTGGAGCACATAGAAATGTGAGATTGATTTGCCACTAATTGTAAACAGGTTTCATCTTTCCAGGCCAGGAAAAATGCAACACATCTGTATTGATGCTTGATCGACGAGGTATTTTCTTTTTCTAGACTTGCAATCGGATCCGACCAAAAACCGAGACATTGCACTAACAGAACAAAGCCAATCGTCTGCTCTCCCCAGGAACTTATCGGGTAGCGAAGACCCCGTACTATACGTCGAGCGTTGGTTGGGTCTTAACCAGCCACCTAGAAGGACTTTTCGCTTACTATTCAATTTTGTGCTGCGCCGACGATATCGATGTCCGGAAAATCGTAGTGAGAATCCAGCGGCGCTAGTCCCTCGTGGTCTGCTAGAGGACCGGGGTCCAGAATCTCGGTCCCAACGGAGTCGTGCAGCATCTCAAACGGCCCATATTGGTTTGTCCATGGATCTTGGACAGCATCAAATGCAGGCAGCTGTCCAGATAGCTGAACATTCTCATTGTCGCTCATTCTCGTTGTCAACGATTTCATAAATACTTCAGCCGAGGCATGGATTTCATTTAGAATGTCCTGCACTTCCGTGCGAGACATCATACTATGGCTATCATTGAAAGCCGTATCAAGCCTGTTATTCAGTTCAATGATTTCTCTTTTCAAGCGATCCACCTCCTCTAGGGCCTTTTGCTTCTCCAAGGATAACTGGCGAAGTTTGGCGTTGGTCTGTGCCTTCTCCCTGCTGAGTCGCTGATTGCTAGCAGCGATCTCACGCTGTTGCTCGTTGAGGCGGTTTGTGAGCTGTCGGTTATGCACTTCGGCATTGTTGATCGCTACTCGACAGTGCGCATGCACGAGATTGAAGTCATCATCCAGGCCTCGAGAGCTGTCCGCAGCCGGCGGGTATCGCCGGTTCGCTGTTGCCTGTTGAAGTGATTGTATGAGCAGCTGCCTCGGTCGTCGGTCAGACTATGGCTTAGGAAGACATACCGCTGTTTGACGTGGCGGTGGCCGCCGTACGGTGGATTGAACCCCCGCTGTACCTGTAGGCGGAGGCCGTGTGGTCTGCGAGGAGGGAGCTCCTGTCCCTCTGGGTCTGCGAGTATTCCTCTGGACCACCATTTCGTAGTTCTCGCAATTGTAGCGCTCTATCACCGGTTGTAGGACCACAGAACAGAGAGGAGGTGAGGTTTTGTAGAAAATGAAGACTTTACGGGCGAGAAGGGCGAAGAGGACAAGGTCATTGTTTACATTTATTTACATGGATCGATTTCGTACGCCTTCTTCAGGACGGCCATTTCCACACTTTCCCCTTATTATCCACCGGTTCAAGAACTGCATCCATGGGTAGAGCTATGCGCCACAAACTCACCAGAACCTTGGGGTCGATTATTTGGGTACCCAAACTTGGCCTTGGTCAGTTGTGCAAATCACGTCGCAGATCTATGGGCGGCACTTGCTTCAGCCATGTTGACTTCTAAATCGTCGAACGTACCTCAACCAGAACCGGCGGGCCTTGAACTGTAGGCCAATTCTTTTTTTTTTTCTATCTTTTTTTTTTTTTTTTTGAAATGACATTGTCTTGATTTGAATGGGCGAGGAATTACTTCGAAAAATCGTCTCGCCCATTTCTTTCCATTGGTAGATCTGGCGTTTTCCGCTTTCCGTCCCGCAAAAAGCGGTCCGCTCTACGACTGAACCATGGTCGCTTTTAACCGAGAATGGAATGGATACTACTTGTAATTTCAAAATTGACCTAAAATCACGAGTAAGTACAGTGATTTAGCGTTGCCATGTACTTTTCGCTATAGGTGCTTCTTAGGCCTTTCAGCAGGGTTATCATAGACGTGCAGCTGGATGATGTGCAGTCCAGCTCCTCTTTTTATCGTGTCAGCCAGTTAATGAGAAGATTCTGTTCAATTCACACGAAAAGGTACTCACATGTAGACGAGAGCTCGAATGCATTTCCCGAAAGGGCTTGATGGCTACCTCACCTCCAGTAAGATTGAAACCCAACTCCCTTCCCGGAATCGATGCCAATGATGAGGTCTTTACCACTCAAGACCGGTGTAAATACTCTCCTAAAGCCATTACTTGATAGTATCATCGACCGTGCCAATGGGGATTCTTCATGTAGAAGGGTCTGCGGCTATGGATCACAGAACAGCTCCCGCTTTATACAATAACTCCTACGTTCCTGGCAAAAGAGCCTTGATCAGAAGATCCTATGTGTAGGTACTGGCTTTAGATGTGTAGAGCAGTCTAGACCACCATTTAATATAGCTCCACAAGTGTCTTTTTGATAAATGTAATTTTCATGCACCTTAGAAGTGGCCTGTTTGACAGCTACGACTACTACCTAGAAGCCAGCCACCAATGACCACTTTCGCTACATGATGAGAAAGATTCTCAATCACGCCATCTTTGATGTTGGGCAATGACCTGTAACCAACTTTGAGGAGACACTACCAGCACAACACACGCGATGGTAGATATCGTAAGAAGAGACGATCTTCAAGACAGTCACCAGACTCTCCGATTTTAACTGGACATCTATCCACCAAAATTCACCAACACCCATCAACGCTGCTCTGCACTGTACATAATTTGAACCCTAAGGAGGAAAGAATGATGGCGTGAAATTACGCTCAGTGTATGTACCTGGCGATCGAATGTATATACTTGATGCTATGAAAGAAGGACGCGCAATAGAATGAATGTGGGCGTTCGCCATGTTCGTGGCTTCAGTGCTGGGCTACTGGTAAACTCATGATAGAAGTTCATTGCTCAATCTCAAAATCAAGCATCCGTGAGTCTTTGGACTCCGAGGGCTGAGACAATTTAGCTTCAGTCGACTTGTACATGTTGTGACCGCAATTCTGGCAGGTCTGTTTGGGTAAAGGCCATATTCACAGAGTTTCTTTTTCTTCTTCCGCTGTTAACGAGTCCTATAGCTCTGAGTCAGGCAAAATACTAGTAGCTCTCTGTGTGATTAGCTCTCTGTGTGATAAGGTTCTGGACTGTGGCGAACAACCCCGTCCAACACTTTCCCCATAGCAGTGAAATAGCTCGGCCCAACACGGCATTCATACAGATGCGTCCTCTGGACCTCGGTGGAATCTTGTAAAGAGGTTTAATCCGGGGGACTACCAGGTATCCAGCCAATAGCACTTAGTTGGCGAAGCCGGCACAGAGTTTAAACTTCTAGCTCATTTGTACTTCTTCCTTAAGCATTCATGCATATAAAGTATCGGGTTTCAAGTGGCCGCAGGTGTTCCATCTCTTTCGGAAATGATCGGGCGAAAGACTAACAAACGGTTCCGGCATGCTGTATGGCAGGCCTGACAGAGTGAAGTCCAGCAGGTCGGCATGATGGAAGCATTGATTCGCGGGCAACTGGAGCGATGACGAAGAATAATTATATATAAATCGTTGAAAAGTTGGAGATTCTCCTGCAATATTTATCTCTGAGATGACGGGAACTGTGAGATGACCTCAGAATTGTTCATTGTGGACAATACGACATTATCGAATCTGGTGGATGAAGAAGGTGATGGTATCCAGAGCATGCTATTCTGAGACCAGTGCTTCATGGACAGTTCTTATGATGAACTTGTAGGATTGAACAAGTTGTAAGATATTGATGGAATTATGGACCGCTATCGGCTTTCCCAGCTACCTGTATGGAATAATAACACCATTTTAATGGAGATACATTACGCGAAGTTACAGCGTCGTTTATGAGTTCCCAGGAAATGGCGATCATAGAATGAGTGGATTTTCCAATGGCGCGGGATCGCATAACATTCGAAACGAATGTACAATTCAACCGAGTGCTAGCAAAGTACTCATCTTCATTCTTCAACCAAAAATTTGAGGAGTTTACTTATGCATTGCTCGCCATAGAAACATAGCATAGCCATTGTTCTCTATCATTATATAAAGTCTTATTGCAAAGCGTCCCCAAGCATAGTCACAATCCAACCATATCGATTGTGGAAGTGGCCAATAACCTGACAAGCTGAAACAATGTCAACCCCAAATGATAAGAGCTTTCAGCCGCGGATGTGCACTGTCGCCCAGAGTTTGAAGGCGCAAAACACCAAAATATTCCTCCTAGCATCACTGATTTCTGTGCTCTCAATCAGTATGCTGGCAATCGAAATGCTCCACGACGACAGGCGATTTACCTCTGGAGTGTCGAAAGGGCTCTTCTGTGGTACATTGTCGACCGCAGTCATTTCATGTGTGATTTCCATGATGCTTGATTTTTATTCCCAAGGGGCTTTCATCCGAACAAAGTCTGAAACCCTAGCTATATGGATGCCTTTGGTGTGTCTCAACTTTGCCGTCCTGGAATTCATTGTGGCATCAAGATACTGGTACTGTAATGGAAGCTCGCGACAGACCTGTGGGGTAATGACAGCCTACATGGTTACCTTATTCTTGTCCAGTGTCTTTCTATCGCTTTGGATGCAGTATGCCTGGATTCATACACGGTATCCAGTATCGCATAAGAGGAGCCGGTCTTGGTCGTAAGCTATTGCTTGATAACTCTTCAAGAGTTCTGTGACGTCAGAAATGAAACCCTCGGAAATGGAACTCTCCCTTGGAAGGCAAATCATGCTGATAGGGACATTACTTGGTATATTACTCCTACTTGTGATGGGGAGTAGGCTTCATAATACATCAAATAAAAGTATCCTATCCAGATCTCTCATGTTCATCCCAAGATATGCGCCTTTTCCATTTAACACGACCAAATGTGAGTGGTATAATATCGAGATAGACTAAATTCGTACTTCAGTACCAACTATATTAGGATCAAGTAAAGGTTTAAGTGAATATAAGTCTCGATTCAATGAGTATTGTGTATTCTGCTGGCTTATACTATCATTGAGAGAACCTCTTCAATCCAGAAAAGTAAAATGAGGTTTGTGTATACAGGACTGCCTGGCATACTCTAAGTTGAAAATTCACATAATGGTAGGTATCGGGCTTGTTCTGTCTTTTCAACGTTTAAGTACAAGGCCGTCAATAGATTAAACACCCACAGCGTTTCACACTCTCAGGTACATTGGCGAAATTGATTTCGTAGAATGTGCTTATTCTACCCTTACACGTATTACATGTAGGGCCATCCGTCATTCGCCACTCCTGACCCGATTATCTCCGCTCACTTTATTTAATCTAAGTCAAGTCTGTCTCTAGAATTGATTCTCATAAAAGCATTCTGACAGGTCCCGTGAGTAATCATTGGCCTTGATTGACTCTTGCGAATTTCCTGTGATATATTGGTCTTTCATTCCTTCACAATCAGGAAATCCGAACAATGAAGCTTTGGAGCCTTCCGGGGAAGTTGTATTTATTCTTGTTATCGTTACGCGTTTGTCTATCATGTGAGATTCATTTAGATTATGCGCTACCCTTTGAGTTGATTCAAGGGGATTATTCATACCCGGTGAGTCACGATACTAATCCGAGACTTGAGTAAACACTTTGACTGAGAGGGGTACATGTAGTCTACGGCGCTGCTAGTCGAGACCGGTTTACCATACCCAAGAAACGGCCACATAGCCCCACCGATCAACCCGTATCACGCGTCGACGTGGCAACAAGGCCCACTCAACGTTTCTTTGAAGTATGAGTACTTCTCGAAGAAGGTTTTCATTAACCATCCTCTATCGCGGGAAAAGATCTGGTCCTTTGGCAACGGCAATTTGGGTGCTCATACGGTACTGAGCCTCCTGGCCTCCCCAGAGGTTACTATTTCGGACGCCAATCAATGTCTCCGCTACGGTGCTGCGGCTGCAGAGGCTGTGGTGAGCCAAGTAGATCATCAACTCCAAACGGGGTCCCAGACACGAAGTCGACCAGCAAGTACAAGCTTAGGAATGGCATTTACCCAAAAGCAAAGATTAAAGGACGCAGGTCTGAAGGCTATTCAAGAAGCACCCGAAGAGGAAGACTGGACCAAATATTGGGAACAGTTGGATGACTTGCCTGACTTGCATGAACCAGGCATTTTGGTCAACAGCCAGTATCTCGATCAAAGGCATGGCCTACGGACGTTCTCTGGTATCTCGCACCCAATGCTAGGCGTCATAGGTGCCATGATTGCTTTCCTAGTAAGCGTTTCTATTGTACATATCTTGACAAGTATTTGCATTCAACTATGTCTCCGGAAAAGACATCAGCATTACAATTCGGGAATGTTTGACAGTGAGAGCTACTGCGACGAGAGCTCTCTTATGAGGGGAAGCGCCAATAATAGTTGACAGATCCAGGCTTCCTGGGTTTATTTTGACCTCATTGCAGAAGAATACCGACGCTTGAATGTATCTTAACTTGCAGGTGCTTCTTTTCTATCATTTCTCATTTTGAGAGCCATCCGCTGCCTGACCCCTAGCCTTCTCGTTCTCTCCAATTCAGCTATTTACTTGAAAGCTTACTGGACCAAACAAGTCCATATAGTGGTAGTTCTCTTATGTCAAGTGCCTTTCTATCTGGTAAATGGATTTCATAGAGAATAGACGTTGTATGACAAAATACAAGCCCAGCAAAGCCGTCTTGAGCCCAAGGCCGACAGAACTAAAAATTGGTACTGATATGGAGCAAGGCTCTAACACAACACATTGTGAACTTTATATTCGAACTAGTTACACTGATAGCTCGCAATGCTGCCTTTCCACCTTATTTTGTGTTCTATATGAGTGAACAAGAAACCATCGACAGGCTCAGAGATGCTATGGAGTTCTCTGCAAGCCATGCTTATAGCCCATACGTTTAGCAGGGTGTTTTCATTTGACACTGTATACGTCTATTTTCTGTTCGCGTGGAAAAGCTCGAACACTGGACATTCTAAAATCAAACCAATCAAATACCCCATACAATGACTCAATGGGTTGATTCTGTGTGACATAAAATGATACTGTAAGTATGGTGTCAGTCTCTGAGATCTAGATTCACTTACCTTCATAACATCGTGGGCGTCCTTTTCCCCAAACCGAATGAGCTCGTTGACAGTACGATGATCTCCCGCAATATTGTCGACCCAGTCATCCACGTTATCCAAGTCCCAAAAGTCTCCATTGACTTTCAGTTCCGGATGAGACTTGGCCAGTGTGTATGCCCGGTGTTTGATCGCGCGAGGGGAGCGGTAGAAGCCTCGGCGTGCCAGAAGGCAACGCAGAGCCTTGCAGCGTATTTGTCGCGACGAAAAGTAAATGAGAATTACTGTCTCATTCACTGACCAGCGTTGGCTTTTTGACATCTAGGAGAATGCCGTGTCAGGGAATACTCTCTTTTGGCTATGATAGAAGCCTTACCACAGCTGACATATATATTCACAGATAGTCAAATATGTTTGTTGATACCGCTGTGAGAGGGAAGAAGAGTCTTTGGAAGACCCAAGAATATTCCCCTCACAAACAATGTCCATTATAGATCAAACTACCCAGAGTTGAAGATTCTTCGATCGAATCAATAGCGAGAATATCAGATGGAGAACAATTCAAGCTAGCGTTCCTTCATTATACGACAGCGTTATCCCGATCTCAGTGAGTTCTTGCGGAAGTCTGCCTGTTGATCTAATAGAATCCAACAAAAAATATCCATATAATGTTCAAACTGGGCCCAATTCAACTGGACTGTTTATTTTGGTGTGAATTGTGGGTTGAAAGTTCACTTGTCAGATACAGACATGCATTACAAAAAGAAGCGATTCCTCGCTTCTAGGGTCTTCTGACTAAAGTGAGGTTAAGGAATGAATGCTCATATTCCCATGCTTGTTAGACTGTTTATTTTGGAGATTACTGTGTCTTTTCATTTGAATTGGCTTCCAAACCGGAAAGTGATAAGGGGTTTATTCCGACAAGCCGCTCTTCGATAGATGCCAATAATTACTGTTGAACAATGAGATTGGTTCATTTCAGTTCTATGTCAAGAATAGACACCTTTGAAGTGTATAGTCATCCAGAATAAGAGATGACCTACCTAATTGGGAGAACTGGTGAACTCATTCTACAGATATCCTTGTAATGCAGCTAGATTGAGAGAGAAAATACTGGGCGAATAGTCATGAAATACTGCAGTATGACTAGCTTCGTCGTAATCACTGAACATTGAAACTTCTGAGCGAGAGAAGCTAACGTCCTTATTCTACCAAGGTAAAAGCTTCCCCATGTGATGTGCTTTGGGGATTGTGTTCCCTTCGACTCGGACTGAACGATTAAAATTCGCTAAGAAAATCTGCAACGTCAAGATTCCCGTGATTTTTGGCAATACTCTGCGCTGTATTTCCTGCATGATCGACAATATTCTTTTGCGATCTGAGGGTGTAAATATAAGGTTTGCAAATGGCCGAGGTTTCCGCCGGCCGCAGCACACCATCGTGCAGTTCTGCCACCGTGGTCAACAGCGTTGATTTCAGTATTTGTATGAAGCAGTAATATCTGCATGATCTCCTGGAAACCCCCAGATGACGCGATCATCAATGCAGTTAGTCCATCCGTGTTCCTATGGTGAATTGAGAGCTTCGGATCATGGTCCAAAGGCTGGTGTGCAATTTGAACGTGGCGAAAGCACAGCGCCACCCGAAGCGTTGTGGTACCATTTAGACTAGTCTGGTTGGCATCAGTGAGCTTGTAGCTCATGAGGTCTTTCACTGCCCAAGTATGGCCTGCAAGGCAAGCAGCCCACAGAGGAGGTACACAACGTGGCTCGTGTGTATTGGTACGAACGCCAGCCTGACTGAGTAAGAGTCTAAAAATGCGATAAGTACCTTTCTCAGCCGAGTGAGCTAGGGGAGATACGCCGCTGATCTCGCAGCCGCATATGTTGATACTGTCGACGTGGAGTAGGTGGGAAACATGTTTTTCGTCATTGATGCATACTGCGTGCCAAAGAGAGGTTGTTCCATTTTGGTCTTGATGATTATTATCAATACCAAGACAGCTCGAGAGCAAGCAATCGAAAACCTGAAGTGGAAGCCTCAATGAGCTAATTTGGTGATAGATTTAAACAATCTCGAGAAGAGCACGTTCCACTTGGATGTTGGCAAGAAACAATTGAGATCTGCCAAGCGAGAGCAACATTTCGGTAGCGATACAGTCTCCGTCTCGGACTGCAGCGCGGAGGGTTCGGTTCAAGTTGCGTCTCGCTTTATCATCCATGGCCGTCCGGGATCTGATAGAATCAATTGGAATATACGGTATTGCTCGTGATCGAAGGCATGCATTAGGGGGTAACTAAACTATGCGCCCTCCGTCCTGCAGATGCAGATCCGTTGCAGGAAACCGTTTGACGATTGCACTGGCACTGTTTCGGATAGCGATATCCATTGCCGTCTCATCGTTATTGTTCTGGAAAGTGATGTCAAGGGTCTTTTCACTCAACAAAAAATGAACGGCCTTCCACTGTCGATCCACACGTGCTATCATCAATGTGGTAGATCCGTGCCAAAAAGCATTGATATCCGCGCTGTGATGATCCAACAATTTTCTTGCCGTCAATATATTTCCGGTCTCTATAGCCTGGTAAACCGGGAGTTTTCGTCTTGTAATAAGATCTAGGGGATGAACTTTGCTAGATATGAATTCAAGGCACGGCAGATTAAAGATAAACGAATAAGTTGACTCTTTGTGAGGAAACTGATGACACGATTCAGTAGCTCGACAGGTAATTGATTGAAGCTCATCATGCCTACAACTCGGTCTGTCAGCAACTTGGAATGGAGTTGTGAAACGTAGTCCCAAAGCGGGCAATTTGAAGATTTATATGAAAAGACCAATCACAGCCGGTGGATCTTCAAGGATAACAACTATAGAAATATTTTTCTGTTGGCTCCCAGGACGCGACTATTCGCTTTCGGTAGAAATTAGGTTCCTAGGAGCTCGTTAGACTGTTACGGATGCTCCTCGGAGCCTTTTTGTATGAAGTATACACGATTGACAAAGGGTGCGGACTCACATGGTGGGTCGGGGTTTGCCATAGCACGTGTGGGCTATCTTTTGGTTCTTCCCCGCGTTGCATTTGTCACAAGTTTTCACTCAATCCTGTAGGAAGATAAAATTCTCATCTACGCATACATGATAACACCCCAGCTAATCTTCAATTCGGACGAATGTTCTTTCTTGAATCTAAGCAGAAGGGTAGACACCATCCTCAGTCTGAATAGACGAGCCATGAATGAAAACCGCCTCTTGCATGCTCGCCGTAGCCCGAGATCCAGGTGAGTGCATATCTGTTTGCGTGACTTCGATAGGCCTCTCGCTTGCTAAGATACCCGGATGCAAGGCTCAACCGAAATGATGAGCCACCGATCCATGGCCGAGAGACATTTTCAGTATCTTCTCACAAGAATTAAGCGATCCCAGGAGGCTCCTCACGTATCAGAATGTTGGAGATGTCTTTGGCGTTGACTAATTTGAAACTATGTCACGACCATTCCTGCTAATCCCAAGCTCATTCTAGGCCTTCAAAGTCCTGGGATCTAAAACGACTTTCATAAAGTAGATGTCGATATAAAATCGCCCAGACTTTCCTCTCATTTGCATAAATATCTTCCAATCTTATTGTTTTTACCACAAGGTGCCTAGTTATCACCAATATGCCGTCTCCTTCTTTGGAAACAGAACGTGAGGGATTATCCATTTCTTCCCATTGTGATTGGGTGTCTGAAAACTGGAGTCATCGCTTTTCATTCTCAATTGCCTCCCGATTTGGAGGATGTTCTGATTCAAAATTCAGAGCATTACGTTGTATCACGTCGATCTTCATACGACAGATTGAACATGTTGACTCGAGTGAGGAGCATAAAGCTCCTCAAGCCATTGAGACTGAGGCTATTGATCTAAGCGCGGTATCGATTGCAATCTCCACGGGCGACATTCTCACGATCGAACAATTTCTCTACCACTCATGCACCAATCCCAACATTTTTCGAGCCCTTGGTCGGGAGTTACTCTTCAAAGCGCTAGAATACCAGCAGTATTCAATTCTGGCGATGCTTTTACGAGACCACCGGATTGATGTCAACTCGGAAGACTCAAGAGGTCGAACGGCGCTCCACTTTGCTGTCATCTATGATGACCTCACTGCAATTCATCTTCTCATGACGCACAAAATGATCAAGTTGAATCACCTAGATTCTGCAGGAGACACTGCACTTCTCTTAGCGGCGAGAACGTTCGATGGCGGGCTATCTTGCAGGAAGATCTT